CCTTGAAAAAGCACCATGTTCTTGAAAAGTCCTTGAATTTTCCACAGAAGTCCTTGAATATTTTTGAAAAATCGTTGAATGAAAATAACCTTCATTAAAAAAAATGTTTGGCGCAAAGGAATGATTGAAAGTATAGCAATACACAAAAATTTTCTTGGTGATCATAAAAGTGTTTTCTTATGATTTCGGTGTTCCCGACATAGTTAATTTTCCCTTATTTGAAGTACCCTAGGAACAGTGCCTTAATGAAGGAAGGTATTGCAATAAGTAAACCCCTTTCCACCTACATGTACGCATTTTAAAAGTCTTAATTACTTATTGGGAAAAAGAAGTCCTTGAAAAATGATTTTAATCCTTGAAAAGTCTTTGAAAAGTCCTTGATTTCGCCCAAAAAATTCTGTTTGCACCATGAGTAGATTAAGTCTGATAAATTGGCTTTCCCTTTTTTAGGATGGTGGTATCATTTTCTGGAGTAAAACTGAGCGTGGTATGAAAGCTGAACTTCGCCTACAGCATCATCCATTTGATACTGAATCCTGGGGTGTTTTGATCAGAGAAGCACAGGTATACGTGACATTCTTGTAGTTTTGATGATTCCACAGGAGATGTATGTATGTGTGATATTTGTAAAGGAAAATCATTTCCCTTGTTTTGCCTTTGGTGGTTTATAACCTAGGAATAGCCTTTCCGATTCATAAGTTCTCCTTGGATGTTTATTAGAGTTAGCAGCATGGCCAAGTGGTTAGTACTTTGGATGTTTGGTGATTTGGAAATCCAGCATTTGAGCACTGCTCTTTTTAACCTTGGTGGTAAATACATACACACAAACTCTTTTACTCAGGGTAGCTACTGAGGTAATATCGTCAGTCACAGTAAAAGAGAATATTGCTCTCAGATATTTGCGCAGCTCATGAGCAATGTTGAGGGTAATTTAAAGGAAAACTTATTTTTGTATGGTATCTTTCTTTATCCACATCAATTTTTTTTCTTTACCTTGTACAGTATGAATATCTTCTTGCTTCAAATTTCATCAACAAGTTGCTAGATAATAACCTAGGAATAAAGTAATAATTATTACTTTCTTCTTACAGAATACTCCATTAGAAACGTCAAGAGTACTGTGTGAAAAGCTTGTGAGAAGATTTCCTAATGCTGGTCGTTACTGGAGATTGTACATTGAGCAAGAGGTTTTTAGAAAATTTCTAGTTCATTAAGATTATGTTATGTTTTTTACCAGTCTTGTTTGTCTTTTATCCTTAAGCCCATAGACACAATAAACCTTTTTGGCACTTTGAGTGGTCACATTGGTGCACTGGTGTTACAGCATCCAGAGTTTCCTCTTCCAGTTTATGGTTAATGTCATTGCAAGTGGTCTAGCTGAGATAAAAGGCAACATTTTGGATGCCACCACTGTTTTTCCCCTGAAATGACATCTGAGCAAAAACTGCAGAAATTCCATACCGCTGATGCATCTTTACTCAGATCTGGGTGGTGCTACAGATTGGTTGAAGCTAATTTATCTTGCGGCACGACCAATCAGAAGCACTACCCATAACTGCAAGCCATAGGAATTCAAATCCCATGGATAACAATTTTTTGGTTCCGTGCCCAGAGATCATGGGAAACAATCTGTAACAATTTTTTGGTTCCGTGAAAATTCATGGGAACCCACTTTTATATCTTTTAATGTACAGAAACAGTTTTCTGGAAACATGTGTTAAACTTAACATACTTTAAAATTAAGAGACATCAGTGTGTACTATTATTTGCAAAAAACGTCAATGTCTATGAAAATGTCAGAAGAAGGTCAATTTAAGTGGTAATTGTGTGTGCTCTAAAGTGTCAAAAACTCCACACTTCTCTTTGATACGTATACTCACTTGAAATGTTCGTTACAGATCTTGTCTTTTGATAAAGAGATTTGGGCCTCATCATCAGTTTCAATAATGAAATTATCACTGAAAGACTACATTCTAATAATGTTTTTAAACTTTTGGAGTCATATATTTTTTTTGATGACACTGGAAGCCATAACAATCGCCGATGTTAACTGTAAAACATCTTTCAAGCATAAGTCATGAGAAAAATGGCAACGTTTTTTTACAATTTTGTTTATACACAAGCTGAGTCATAAAGAATTGCTGTACTAGTTAAGAACCCAAGTGGAAAAATACTATATTTGTGTATTTTTTATCTCTCAGTCTGAATATATCAAGACATGTCAATGGGAAATTATTTTTCGGTTCCATTATTACCAGAAATGATTGTTACCGTGAATTCCTAGGGCTTGGAGCTGGGTAGTGACACATCATTAGTATGGAATTTCTGCAGTCATTTCTCATATGAACTATGGCTGGAAAACTATTGGTGGCGTCATGAAATGTCAGATGTTTTCTCAGGCTACAAGTGGTCTAGTCCATAGCACTATCCATTGTATATAAGTATCAGGTGGATGGTGATCAACTCTTGAACAATTGGAGACTGGTCTATAATTTTACTAAATTCTCATGACATTAGTTGCAACTCGCACAAATTTCTCACTGCACTAATACTCTAAATGCCACTCAAATTTCACCAGAAGGAGTGTCGGTGAGTTGACTGACAAGGTGCATTATTGACAAAGAGACTTCAGGTGCATTTGTACAACAGAACTTTAATTTGGTCTGGATCCTTCAAAGAGTGTCACTATACCGGTGACTTTTTTAAAGAAATACTGGAGTTTTCACAGGGCCATAGATGACTATGGTCTTGCTGAAACTCAAGAATTTATTTGGAAACGTTATCAGTAGAGTGCCACTTTTTTACTGGTCAGGGCCCAGTTTTTCTGTAGTGTAAACTCACCTTTAACAGATTTAAACAATTAACAATTCTTTGTTTCCTCAATCCAGTCAGGTAGGCAGTTAACAGATTAAATGAAACTAAAAATTCATATATTCCCATATTGGTTTGCCCTTGTGGGGGCTTAATAAAGCGGTTTTCAGAATATGGTGTCTTTCATCTCTTAACAGAGATTGACTCTCAAACTGGTTGTGTTGTGTTTCCATTGTGTGCAGTGTGGTTATTTGTCTCCAGTCTGAGTTATTTTATTCCTAGTAATTTTGAAGTGTATATTACTGCCTGCTATTTGACAAAGTTACTGATTAGTCGTGGGCCCGCAGAGAAGTAATAGTTCAGTCACAATGACTGAATGTTGGAATTCCGATTAGACTTATCTGTTCCTTGCATTGCAATCATATCAAGTTGGTGATGGGACAAGCCATGATTGCCATTCTTTTCTTGGGCCATTATATTATGTGTTAACATTTTCATTCTGCTCATCACCAAGATGTATTGGAGTTAGGGAATGAGGACAGAATTTCAGAAGGAAAAAAGCCTGTAGTTTTACAATACAGTGTGGAACTGCTGCAATTTCTTTCTCTTCCTGACCCTTTCCCTTCTTCCATGGGATAGCCGAATGCTAATGCTACTAATTGCCTGTAGACAATTACCATTTTATCAGAGAGTTTAAACCGTCACTTCAGTTCTCCAAAACCAGGATTGGTGGTGATTGGGGATTGACCGAAATGATATTTTTAAGGACTGCGTGGGTGTGGCATGTAACGGTTCCAACGAATATAAAATTCAGTTCACGTACTTGGAATTGCACTAAAAACAATTCCATTTTGTTGGGTATAACACTGTGTCAAAGAAAGAAGAGTGTGGCAGATTTCTATAGTTTGATAGATCTTAACACAAAAAGAAATCAGAAGTTTTATTCCAAAAGTAATTAATTTTACTCTGTTGGTTTTATACCAAAAAGAAAAATTTCATTATACAGCTAAGCTTTATTCGACCAGTTTATGTGCCAAAATGGAGGTTATTAGAGCAGTGCTTCAGGCGTGACTGTCTCTTGAGCCCTTTTTTGCTAGCTGGCAGATGTGTTTCTTTCTGGTTTTCTGCAATCTATACCATACATTTGCTCATATGTTTTTATTTACTTCTTGGGTTAGGATGGGGTGATCTCAGAAGGTGTGGAAAATTGCACTTTTGGCATGACCAGTCATTTCTGGCAATGTCATGTTATCAGCCATTCCCAGGGTATTTCATTCCTTGAGTAGTGCTAGAACCTTGGTTTAATGCAACACCTGACTTCATTACTACCCTATATAAAAGAGCTCCAACAAAATGTTAAGAAAAAAGGCCAGTTCCTATTTCATTCTTCTGCTTAAAAAATCCTTAAAACCTCTCTTTTCAAAACAGAAAACAGTAATTGAGAACGAAAGATGCAATTGCCTAACCACCTCCCCCCTACAGAAATGACAGCCTACTGGGAGCCATTTATCATGGAAAACCATTGTGTAATTTCTACATTCGTTAAAGAATGAGTTGAAGAATTTGATATGAGATCAAATTGTTTTCCTTTGGTGATCACTTATTGATTCTCATAACCTGTTAGGAGAAAATTGATTTTGGTCACTTTTTGGGCTCAAAAGGTTAAGGAACAAAGGCACTTTGTATTCAATGGGTGGTCACAGCCCTGCTGCTTAGGACAACAAAAAAAGGCTCCTCCCACAACTGTTATTTCAACTTTTGGCATTGACCAGTCAATGATAATCTATCAACACAACTAAAAGAGTGTCTTAAATTCAGTGAAGTTGCCAAGTTTGAGAGTGATGCATTGAAAACTTATAACAGTATGGCTCTGCAAAGTCACAAAATTGTGCAGATGTTTTATTAGTGTGGGAAGGTTTGTGCCCACATTCCCCCCATCTTGCCTCACCATTAGAAAATCCATCTATTTTGACCCTCAAACTTGGTAAGTTAATAAATTCTTGGGCATTTGTTCCAACAGTGTTAGTGGATTATTACTTTCTGGTTCATGTCAACAATTTTCCAAAAAAGTGGAAGGTCTAAGTTCAATTTTGTTGAGGGTAAGAGTCACTTCAAGTCAGTAGATGAGATTGAGCCTTGCTTGTCTGTCTTTAACGTCATTGACTTCTCGGCAGAACGAAGCTTTTACACTGACGATCTGAAAACAGATAATAGGAAAATACTAATGTGCATGTTATCTCAAGGGCATACTTCATGGAGTATGAAAATTGTGCTTTTTAAAGGGCACATTCCTTTTGGACAATCCGGATACTGAATGCTGATCTGAGATCACTCGGATCATGGAATATCAAATGAACAGATGAATCTTTTTCCAGAGTAGATTCTTGTCAGTTCCTTTGATGTGCTGTGATCTACAGAGCATTCACTAGGCATCGGAGATCGGAGAATTGTCTGTTTACTACGCAGAATTCTCTGGCTAATGTTCAGTAGCCTATGGCTACTTTTTATTCAGATGTGGAGCCTCTTTTAAAATATTCTCCTGTAACATTACACCTTTCTCCTGCTACTAGAATTCTTAATGAAAACCCTGGATCTGAGTGATCTAGGATCACTGATCTCATTTTGGATGATCCTAAAGGAATGCATCCAAAAACTTAATTGTCTCTAATTATGTAAGGGGATATTCCACAGCACCTGGAACTTGATTGGCAGGGGCATTTTGCAGATCTGCAAACTCCAGATGACTCTGAAATTTAGTAAAAAGGGTTAGGAAACTGAGTGAGTCGAGTTTCAAGTCAGTTTGCCCATTATAATGACCCCAAATGGAACCTGATTCACTCAGTTTCCTAACCCTAATCTCTAAACTTCAGAGTCATTTGACATTATGCAAAATACCTGTGCCATATCCTGATAAGCCACAGTCTCCCTGGCAGGGTTCTATCTAGGATTTATCGTTTGGTGGAGAAGTCCCAAGTGGCCAAAGGCCTCGTGTTTTCCTAAAGTGCGGGGCATGCCCCCCCAGAAAATTTTTCAAATGAATATATGCTGAGATGCAATCTGGTGCATTTAGAGAAATGTTACAATGTGTGCACTGACCTCGTCGGGCCTGGATGATTTTTCCGATATAGTTACTTATACATTGTAATTGTAGCAATATTTTTGAGGGGGAAGCTTCTACCCCTCAAATACCCTAGATAGAAGCCTGCCTGGTTTTTTTTATCTGGGATTCTGAAAACTTTAACCTCTGAAACAAGAGCCTTATCAGCATTTCTCAGGTTTCACTATCTCTTCGTTAGGAAGACGTGATGTTTGTAGTATGTAGAATGAATTTGCACTGTTTCGTTGCTTTCTTTCAGATGAAAAATAAGAACTATGAACAAGTAGAAAAGGTAATAAGACCTCTTTGAACCTAAATTTTTGTGTTATTAACATTTTGTTGAAACTGGTTACAAAACACTTGAAAAAAGTTATAATCCATTGTTGGGACTTGTTACGCAATGTCCTGTCAAAGTGTCAGAGGGTGTGATTCGAGGGGGACGACCACATTAAAGTGACAGGGATGCTCATTGTCTCGCTTTGGGGTGTAAAAAGCAGATTTTGGTCTCCTTTAGGGTGTTTGGGATGGAAAGTCACTATATTTGCCCATTCAGGTATCGCTCAGTCCTGTGCATAAAGAAATTTGAAAAAAAAAGCCTGACACAGACCTCACAGAAATCTCACTTAGGGGTCAGTTTAAGCTTGAGCCACACCCACATTGATCTCCCTTAGGATTTTAAATTGAATTTTGTGACGAGCATCCCTGTCACTTATATATGGGAGGACAACGCCCCCGGGGGTGGGAAAACTTAAGACTCTTCCCCAGCACTGAAAGAGCTGTACACTGTCATTAAATGTTAACAAATTATTACCTTCAAAAAGGGTATCTCTCTTCCATGTATTGTAGTACACTCTGATTAAACTGCAAGTTGTGTGAGATATTATCAAATTTAAAGCTTTTATAGCTGGCGTGAATCTGAATATGGAAACCATTTTGAAAGAAATTGAACTGTTTTCTGAATACTTGCCTCTGAATTGCCCTTTGGAAGCTTAAACTCAAAGCGACATTTGTATTGTGCTAATTCAAGCATCAAAGAAAAATCCATTTCAATTATTTTTCTATCCCCAAAATCTCTGAGTTTAGATGGCATGGACAAAACCTGGATTGGGTCAATCCTTCTAACACTATCCCTAACCTTTTGTCATTAGTGACTTACACAAGGTTGATCTGATCCAGGTTATTTGACACCTGATTTTGGAAGTCTGTATGGGATATGTTATTACTTTCTAGAGAACTTCTAAAGTCTTGAGAATACCTTAGGAGATCTTTGAATTAAAAAATACTTCATTATCCTCTTCCCCATGGGGCTTTTCAGGGAAAAAGAAACAAACAAATTTAAGTGGAAAATAATAAGGTGAAGAATTCCAACTAGTAGGAGCCAAACCAGTTGGCTATTTACAAGCGTGGCCAAGGATTTGAACTCTGGACAACTGAGAACAAATCCAGCTAGCGGTCAGGGCAGGACTTGAAACTCGGGGCCTTCGGATCGACTGGATTACAATTCTGGTACTGCTCTAACCACTCGGCCACGCCATGTGGGTAAATTAAATTTACAGATTTTTTTTAATTATTACAGTCAAACCCCACTTTACGGACGCCCACTTAATACAGACACCTCTTTACTATGGACAATTAGTTCTGTCTCTAGGGAAAGAAATTCCGTTACATTTTCTCTAAATTCAACCCACTTTATATGGATGCCCAGTTAATACGAACACTTTCTATGGCCCTCTTATTGTCCAAATCAATGCGGTTTGACTGTATTTCTGATTACCAGTTCCCAGTTTCCCTTGGGTGTGGCTTTGGACACGTCCATTCAGATAAGATCAGGTCCTTGTCGAAGAGGGCTTGTGTTTTTAAAACAAAATATATTGCACACCTTTCAGGGGCAACCAACGTCAATTTTTGGAAAATATGTGTGTTGTAAAATTTCTTGCTTGCCTTCCTCCCCTGGGATTTTCAAACATCTAAAAAATGGTATAATTGCCCATTTTTACCGGAATTTTGCCCTAAAGGTCACCTAGAATTTTCGGGAGACTTTTTTCTGGCTAAAATTTTCGAAAAGTTTTGATCCCTAGAATTTTCCAATCACTAGACTTTCAGCTAAGAAATCCGAACAGATGAAAAATTTTTAGGCGATAAAAATATAAATATAAAGTATGTTCAACAATGCTATGTTTAAGTGGTTTTAAACTATATTCTTATTGGGTGCCCCTGACCTGTGGCTCAAGAAATGGCAGGTGTATAGAAACTGGTAATTTGAAGGAGCAAACATCCAACAAAATCAGTGCAACATAAATTAATTTCTAATTGAAGATGTTGGTTTCTTTCTAAAAGAAGGTATTATTTTAAAGAGCTTGGGGGCTTGGGGGTACTGCCATATACGGCCTATATATAGGTTACACTGTATATTTTCCACTGTGAAAGGTATGATTTTCCAGCTGTTTAGTCTGGGAGAGCTGGGAATAGAAATCAGAGAGATTAGGCCTCTAGTTGGGTATCATTCACCATTAAACTAATCAATTGGTGGAAGATAGTTAAGTATAGACTAAGGAGATTGGTAACTGGCACGCAGAAAAAAGGAAATCTGCAAAATTAATTTACCCGCAACTCAGTAAGCTTCCATTTTTGGCTGGGCTATGCTGGTGACCTCAATATCAGTGCTGTCAACTCTCCGGTATAATCCGGGAGACTCCAGATTTGGACTGTATCTACCGGTCACCAGATTAGAGTTAGAAATCTCCCGGATAATCGCCCAAGTTTGCCATTTTTTGTAGACTAGACTCTCCGACCATAATATTTTAAACATTTTGGGTTTTAGCTATTTTACTGCTAACATGGAACATTCCCTCATACACTCTGCCATCCCATTGTAATTTAAGCAATAACGTGGCTTCATATGAACTGTTTTATGGGGTATATACGTCAATCGGAGTCAACAAGTATTTTTTGCACAGTCAAATGACATTTTCCATGGAATATGACATCATCTATCATCCCTTCCCTATCAGTTCTCAATATTTGAGGGTGTGGGGGGTTGACAGCCCTGCAATAGTTTCTGGAAAATGGCAGGGAGGGTTTTGGGAAGTTTGGTCCAGTATAGAGTATTAAAATGTAGGGGAGCTTAACTACGTCTGGTGAAGGCAAAAGGGTCTTTGGTCCGAGTTGTACACCCCCACCAAACGTTCATAAAGTCCCCCCCACTGCTGGGAGTTGGGGGGTTGAGGACACACACACACACCCAAAACCTACCTTACTAATCTTCAACCTTTTAATCTCCCTTTACTTTAAGGTATTTTAACACTGATCTTTTTAATTCCATAAATTCCAGTTAAACTTTTTCACCCTACTGTTAGGTCATCAAATGAATCTTAGGGTTTTTCACTATTTTGGTGAAAGAAAAAATGTAAGATGCATGCTAATCCTGTATTATGTACCCGTTTAACTTCCTTTTAATTGGAATCTACACCCACCCTATGGGGCTTTTCCACTTGTCGTAAAATTTCTGTCTTGATAATGGTTATTACTTCCAGTTAGGACTCAAGTCGTAACCAGTTCCTGTTGTTGATTGGTTTTCAGCTGTTTCAGAAATGTTTGATCAAGGTGTTAAACATAGATCTTTGGAAGTGCTACCTGTCATACGTTAAGGAGACAAAAAGTTCTCTTCCAAACTTTAGGTAGGCTTACCAACATCTGTACTTTTTGGGTAATGTTCTTCCCAACTCACATGTGTTAACGTAGAAGTTTTATATGGCATACTAATTAGACTAAAACGTTTGACAATACCAGGCCATGGGCAAATATTTTATGTTTTATCAAAAGCAACACCAATAATTTGCTTATATTTACACAGAGAAGAAAACTGTGGTGCTTGGAACATTTTGGAACCAGGGTGTTGGGGGGGACTCTCACATAAAATTGTCAGGGATGCTCATTGGAAATTACTTTTAAAGCTCTAAAGAGGGCCATTCTGGCCTTTGCTCAGGCTTTATTTGACCCCATACAGGAGACAATACTCCAACAAAGCATGACGTCATTGCCTTTTTCCTCTGAATCTTTCTCTACACGCAACCCTAAGTGATACCTTTATGGCCAAAAATATTCCAGCATTCCATCATGAATACTATACCTGCCAACTCTCACGCCTTAGGCGTGAGTCTCACGCCTGCGGGTTGAAAACTTCGATCTCACGCCGGCTCACGCCTGCGGGCCAATTTCTCACGCCTGATTGAAAAATGTGAGTTGTTGCCGTCCTGCTTGACACAATTTCCAAAAATATGTTAACTCAGACCCATGTAAGGAACGAAAACCATGTGTAAAATGAATAAATGGCAATACCTTCCTCGCGATCTCTGATTTTTGAAGTGAAAAGCACTGGGAGCGAGCTCGCCTTTGGCAGACTTCGGCAGACTTCGGACGTCTTCGGACGTCTTCGGAAGACTTCGGACTTCTTCGGGAATCTTCGGAAATGATCGTGTCGTCTTCAAAAATCCCAGCACTCCCAGGATAAAAATCTCACGCTTATATCTCAGAAAAAGTTGGCAGGTATAGAATACCCTAAGTGACACCAAAATCTGCAATTTCTACTCCTCAGTGATGAGGCAACAAGCATCCCCAGAAGTCAACTCGACATTTACCTTGTAGGAGGGGGGAACTCCTTTAAAGAGAAGGCCGGGATGCCTGGCAAGTGCATTAAAAGTGTAAATTGTAGGCTTTGGTTTCACTTAAGGTGTTGTGGACTGAAAGTCAGTATTTTACCCATAAAGGTATTTCTCAAGGTTTTGTGTACTAATAATAAACTAAGGCTGTTGTGCAGTGTTGAAGACAACATTCAATATTTTAACATCTTTAGCACAGTTTGAATCAAAATTATCTGTGCTGGAGGTTGCGAGTTCGGTCAACTTGTCTCGCTTGATGGGTTTCCATTTGCATTTCGCACCAAAAATGGGGAGTTGCGTGACTTGCATTTGGGGTTTCAGGTTTCATTTGTTAGTCCTTGACTTCAATGGCAGAATGTGCTGATTCCACTCCGACTAAATCTATTGAACGTATATGTGTATCTCCATCATCGAAGGAGCAAATTTGTTTACTTTGTGCGACCTCAGGGGGCCGAGCAAAACTGTAAGGTCACCTATCACACTATCACAAGCTTATGAGTCTGTTTGGCCTGTCAACACCTTCGACTTCCAATTGACCCCATGTTGGAATTGGAACCCAAGTCACGTTTCAATGCGCTTAGTACTTGTGGGTGACACCTTTATCCCCAAGGGTCCTTGGGAGCTACTCTGATTGGTCCAAGCACACTGACCTGTTTTTGGGTCGGTAAAATTGGCGCCAATCAAGTATGAAAAGGCCTTCGTCCCGCGCCATATGAAATCCGACGAAGGACTTTTTTGAAAGTCTAAGATCAGGACATGCGTGCAAGCCACAAAACCACAAACTAATTAATGTTCTTGCATACGGTTTAGTTTCCTCAGGCCTGATTGCGGCTTTTTCCTTGCACCACAATAACATTCCCGAAATATTTCTGGTGGTCACGGTTTTCACGGTTTGGCTGTAAAAGTTACCAAGTGACATAAAAAAAATCCTTCACCCTTGGGTTAAACGTAACTGTCGGTGTACATAAAAACAGAGAAACTGAGAGTACACTTAAAGTGCATCTGTTTCTTTGAAGATTTCTGTTAATTATCATATGTCCATTTTGCATTTTTGGCTCTTGTGTGGCTAGAGTGGGCAGATAGGCATACTTAACAATTTGTAAGCTTGAAAGTCTTACACTATTGTTCATACTGCAGAGATAAGATGCTGCAAGCATATGAATTTGCCCTAGATAAAGTTGGACTTGATTTCAACTCATACCAGGCAAGTGAAATGTACTATATTAAGTTGACACTACCTGTAATTATTAAATACTTTTAAAAAGAGAAATTTAAGGTGGCTTTTAACATAGAAAGTCTAAACCCAACAGACTAGGAAAATGTGTTTGTTCAATGGGAGTATGTTATTTTGTGTCCTTTTAATCCTCTGCAGTTAAATGAGGCGGTTGGGCACAAATGCTTAAAACCAGTTGAATAGATAAATAATTTAGAGGTGGTCACCAAGAAGAACATCCCAACATAAGTATAATTATGCGATTTCAGTGTTTTGAGCTAAGCGTAAAGGTGTAGTGTGTTGAATTATATCTGTAATTATATGGAGAACTTTGTATGGTCAGTCCATAAGGTGGTTGACAAAACACTGACCCACCACCTAGTCAATGGACTACCCCAATGGGCTACCCATATGGACTTTCTTTTGAATATACTATAATGGTGCATCAGGTAACCACCAGTAAAAATAATAATGAAATAATTTCAAAAAATAGTCCATTGGGGTGTATGAACTGAGGGTCAGTTTTTTGCCAACGACTCAATCCATAAAACTCTCCTGTTTGAACAATTTTTGAAGGCCCACAGTTGACTTCCTGTTTCTAACTTTGCTCAAATTTCTCATTGTGTTGCTCTTTCATGAGGTAGGGACCTAATTAATGTTAAACTTTTATATACGGCCCCCTGTTCATTTACAAGTACTTACAGGTATTCTAGTGGCAGTTTTACTATTAAGGTGTTTTGTTATGACTGGATTCCACTGTTATTTATGTTTTTACAGCCATCAGAGTAAATATCAGAAATTACTATCCAAATGACTATAATTAAATAATACTTTTCAAATGACTCACCATTTTTGTTTTTGGAATGCTCAGGTCTGGGTTGACTTTGTGAATTTTCTGAAGTCGGGGTAAGAATTAAATAATCAGTTGCTTTAAATGGTAATCACTTCATTTTCCAGTTTGTTTGTTTGTTTGATTTTTTCTATGTAGTTTCATTTTACACCTCTTGATAGCCCTTGTTATTATGTTATCTTTTAGTGAAGCAGTTGGAAGCTATGCTGAAAATAGGAAGATCATCACGATAAGAAAAGTTTTTCAGGTACTGTCAGTGGATGAAACACCCCCGCCCTCCCAAAATAATACAAGTAAAACCTTTTTCAAGGGATAATTCTTTTATATTCAATATGCCTTCAGCAGTAAAAAGAGTTATGAATTCCCCCCAGAAAACACGCACAAATGACATATTTTACCTCCAGCCTCTATTTAGCTTCCTCAACCTGATGAAGAAGTACTGGAAAAAATAATCCCCTCTAATTTAACAGATGTACAATCGTGTCACTCTGATATTTTTGTGCTCATTCCAGAGAGCTGTGGTGACTCCAATGCTTAATTTAGAAGCTTTATGGAGAGAATACAATGCTTTTGAGCAGGTGAGAGTTTTTTAGTAACTCATTAAACTTACTAGATACATTAGCTGTTTGTTTGTTACCTTTTTTTCAAACTTTGTTGGAAACTTTTAATTTCAGCAGGCAGTGAGGTAAGTGAGCTCAAAAAGATATCATTACACATTTTTGTTGATGGCAATCATGAACAAAATAGTCTTGGGACAAAATTTTGGATTTGTTGGGCATCTGTTTTGGCCCAGAATCTAAACTATTGGGCTGCTAGTAATTGTGTGACAACTCATATGCCTTGTCAGAACTGTGTGGCCTGGTCTAAAGTACAAGTCACATTCCACAGGTCAAGAGTGCAGGTCACTGCTCCATCGATAAATTACCAAACCACACAGATTCCCCTTGATCTAATAGAGCATTTGTTGAGAGATTATAGGGTTAGGAGACATGTCTTTTAATGGTATTAATTTATCTGTATCATGGTCACCTGTACTCTGACCTGTGGAAAAGTGACCTGTATTTTAGACCTCCCGCAACCGTGGTCACATTGTGGGTGGCTTCTTGTGAAATGCTGTTCATTTTGGTATATGATTTTATGGAGCCAAAATGAAAAAATAAGGACAATTATAATAATAATTGTAGAACTACACACGTTTTAGGCATTGCAGATGAAATGTTACCACTAGATACTTCCAGCAACAACAATTTGCTATTATGTTCCCTACAAATTGTTATATAATTTGCATATTCAGAGTGTGAACAAGATGTTGGCCAAGAAGCTGATTGATGACAAGACTAGAGATTACATGAATGCCAGAAGAGTGGCTAAGGTAATATTAGATAGACATCATAGTAAAGAGGCAGGGAAAACTCTGAAAAGTCTTGTTTTAGAATAATAGGAGAGTTTTTCAGCAACGTAAAGATGAAAATTAGAACCCGCAAGAAAAGCTTTTTGTGATGTTATAGAAACCTGAAACAATACACCGATTAAGTCATTAACGTATTCTACAGACTACTGTCAACGACTTACTGAATTGTAGCCAATAGTTACCAGTGCCGTACAAATGACTTATTGATGAGATTAAGCAAAACTAACTACGAGAGAACAACTGGAGAACTGACAATTTGACTAACAATAGACGACTGTTTAACTGTGACAATAGACGGATCGAAATGCACCAATTACTGATTATGAGTCTTCATAGCCAATAACAACACGGCTGAACTGGCAGACGGCCAATAAAATCGCAACATAGTTGACCAATCAGATCAATAACCAGAATATAATACCATCAACTGACATGATACAACTCACTTTGACTCTGAAGATAACTACTGCACAGGTTGTCAAAACGTCAGTCACCGTCAACAACAACATTCCTTTTCAGGACTACGTTCACCCGGACGATCAAACTCAACCTACTTTTGGAAGACATTCATTATTAAAATGGAACATTTCATCAGAGTTCATTTGAAGCAAGGAACATTATTACCAAGACAGAATTTATTTCAGTTGTTGCCGCTGTTTCTTGTTGTGCATTTTTTAAGAAGAAAGAGTTTAGAATAGTTATACTCATTAGTCATTAATTTTATTCTTTGATGAGCTTTGTACCAGGTACTTTGCATTGTGCAATGTACCCATTTTCTTATAATCTCATTTCTGTTTGTCACTTTGTAAACAGCAGTAATAGTAATTGCCTGTCAAAGCCAAACACAATCAGGCATCACAGACTCAAATTTCTTCCCTTTTTGAGTATTTTTTGGATTTGGTCATATTCCTCTGGTCAATTTATAAAGCTTATCGTGGTTCATTTAGTGGCATAGATTCATTTTAGGCCATTTCTAAAGACACCCATTTAAACTTCCTTTTCTTGAATCTGGCTAATATCTCTGACTTTGCTAAACATTCCCAGGAGTGTGAAATGAAAAAATATTGTTTTTGCAGGAGTATGAAGCTATGACTCGAGGACTTATTAGAGGAAACCCTTCTGTTCCTGTTCAAGGAACTGCAGAAGAACTGAAACAGGTATTACTGACTTGTGACTTACTTATAGTTTTAGTATAATTTTTTTTTTACATTTTTACAGTCTTTTTTCATACTTGTTTCACCTCACCGATTCATATAATCTTGTAGGTTCCTTGTTCCATAAACATGGCCTTAGGTGGCATGTTTTTTTTATTATTTTTTTATTATTTATTTTTATTTATTTATTCATTATGTCATATTTATTTATTTATTTGTTATAAAAACGTTTTTTTGTTTTTTTTGGTTGCTTTTTTTTGTATCTAGTTACAAATCTGGAAGAAGTATATTGCCTGGGAAAAAAGCAATCCATTAAGAACAGAGGATACAGCCCTCCTTACTAAAAGAGGTATTTTATTTACCCTTCACATTTTTTTCCAGCCTTATATGTCTATGTTCTAACCCATGCAAAATTACCCAATTGTGTTGTCATTTAAACAAATTGAAGGCAAGGTAACATTGCCAGGTTTTGAATTACTTGTCCATGAGGAAAAATATTTTAGAAGCTTGTCTTCTGTTTGTTGTTGTTGTTGTTGTTGTTATGGTGGTTATTGTTTTGTTGCTGTTGTTAATTTCTTCCCAAAAAATCTTTGATGAGTCACTTCACTGGATTGTCTGGCAATATGTAATAATTATGTTGAATTTCCAACTATGTGGGTGTTTTCCCCCTACAGGGTGCTATTTAGTCATGTATCAGAAGAAAATATGACCTCATTTGTTTAAATAGAACAGTTTCAACTTAATCTGAATGGCTATATACACTATATCTCACTTTTCACAAGTCTGGGGTTATTGCATGTGAGTATTATAATTTTACCTGTAGTTACTTATTCTGTTCTAATGACATTCTAACTGGTCTTATTGCAGTGATTTATGCTTATGAACAGTGCCTTCAAACAATGGGATTCCATCCTAATGTGTGGTGTGAAGCTGCACTCTACCTGGATCAAGTCAGTCAAAAAATGATGGATAAAGGGGTGAGTTAGTCAGAGGGTGTGGCAAAAGAGGGCTGATGATGGATAAAGGGGTGAGTTTGTTAGAGGGTGTGGCACAAGAGGGGTTATGATGGATAAAGGGGTGAGTTAGTCAGAGGGTGTGGCACAAAAGGGCTGATGATGGATAACAGGGTGAGTTAGTCAGAGGGTGTGGCACAAGAGGGCTGATAATGGATAATGGAGTGAGTTAGTCAGAGGGTGTGGCACAAGAGGGCTGATGATAGATAATGGAGTGAGTTAGAGGGTGTGGCACAAGAGGGCTGATGATGGATAATGGAGTGAGTTAGTCAGAGGGTGTGTACAAGAGGGCTGATGATGGACAAAGGGGTGAGTTAGAGGGTGTGGCACAAGAGGGCTTATGATGGATAATGGGGTGAGTTAGTCAGAGGGTGTGTACAAGAGGGCTTATGATGGACAAAGGGGTGAGTTAGTCAGAGGGTGTGGCACAAGAGGGCTGATGATGGATAATGGGGTGAGTTAGTCAGAGGGTGTGGCACAAGAGGGCTGATGATGGATAATGGGGTGAGTTAGTTAGAGGGTGTGGCACAAGAGGGCTGATGATGGATAATGGGGTGAGTTAGTCAGAGGGTGTGGCACAAGAGGGCTTATGATGGATAATGGGGTGAGTTAGTCAGAGGGTGTGTACAAGAGGGCTTATGATGGACAAAGGGGTGAGTTAGTCAGAGGGTGTGGCACAAGAGGGCTGATGATGGATAATGGGGTGAGTTAGTCAGAGGGTGTGTACAAGAGGGCTGATGATGGACAAAGGGGTGAGTTAGTCAGAGAGTGTGGCACAAGAGGGCTTATGATGGATAATGGGGTGAGTGAGTCAGAGGGTGTGTACAAGATGGCTGATGATGGACAAAGGGGTGAGTTAGTTAGAGGGTGTGGCACAAGAGGGCTTATGATGGATAATGGGGGAGTTAGTTAGAGGGTGTGTCATGAGGGCTTATGATGGATAATGGAGTGAGTTAGTCAAAGGGTGTGGCACAAGAGGGCTGAGTGATTTACACAGCACAATTGTGATGATAAAGACAATTACTGCTTATTATTTTTGCACCCTTTGCAGGACATGCAGGGATCTAAAGTACTGAGTGATGAAGCAGCAAACATTTATGAACGAGCCATCAGTGGACTGATGAAACACAGCATGCTGATTTACTTTGCATATGCTGATTTTGAGGAGGTAAAAAATGTTTTCCAACCTCTCTGTCTCTGCCAGAGATTCAGCTGAACATTTCATAGGGTCAGCAAGTGAAATCTAGTGCATGTTGTTTTCTTAAATGCAAACTCAAACATGCCCCCTTTGGGTTCTCTGTAAGTTGTGTCCAAGTTATTTACTGTTACGTATGTTTATTAAGTTGTTGTTTTAGTAATTGTTTTCTTTTAAATATATTTACAACATTTTCAGTATTAATTTAAACAAGCTTTCTCTGTTTTGAATATACCCTCTTTGTTGAAGTCATTTTGAGAGGTTGTTATATGGATGAAATGTGTTAGTTTTTTTAATTAGGTAGCCTTGCTTTAAAAGCTGTTTCCATTATTTATAATAATTATTTTTCTTACGAAACAGGGGAGAATGAAGTTTCAGAAGGCAAAGGAAATATATGAGAAATATTTAGTCTTGGAGAATATTGATCCAACATTGGTAAGTTACTATTTTTGTCAACAGGAATTTTACCTCAATCAAGGCATAACATTTGGTAATTATCTTGTGGTTAAAGACAGGTTTTAAATTAATGGCCTCTGTATACAGTCAAACAGTAAAGCCTGTACAAATCCCTCTCTGCTTAAGGTTGTGCGTAAAGAAATATTAGAGTGATTGCAGTCCACTTTTTCTCTGAGATCTGTCGAGTTCTAAGTCACAGTGAGTGTATATTAGGACAAAAATGCCCTTAGCCAAAAAATTGACTGAGGCATTAAATGTAGCTGGCTTGTGCTACCCTGGTAACTTTGGAGAACATAAGAGACTTCTCGCAGTCTTAGAAGCATTTATATGTAAAACACAAATGCCATCATACTGTGTTAGAGTATGGCCTCCTTTAGGGGTAAAATACCGTATTTATTCACTTATAAGACGCACCATTTTTTACAAGAAAATATGCTTGTTTGATCAAAATCTGCTCAAAACTCGGGGTGCGTCTTATAACCGAGTATTTTCGTGCAACAAAATATAACTTTTCCAAATTTCCCAAATAAATAATGCTAAACTGAAATGACTATGTAAATAAATATCAGTAAATGAATAAACAAAAGACAAACAACGTTGATCATTGACTTTATATGATTTGTTGGTTCTGAAAAGAACCGGGGTGGCTCTGAAAAGAGCCATTTGTTTGAAAGCTCGGCTGAGCTCAGCTACTCGTCGTCCTCGCCTTCGCTGTCTGTCTCGAACTCGTTGTCGATCGGCTCTTCTGCGGCTTCTGCTTCTTCTTCCTCGTCGTCCCAAACCGCATCATCTTCAGTTCCATCGAGAGCATTGTTGATGCCACAGGACTTGAACGATCTCGTTATCAAATCAACTGGGATCTCTCTCCATGCTCGGTCGATCCACCGCAACACTATCTCTTTACTGGGCGCTCGCTTCTTTCCGGAAGGCGTGTAGGTAAACGGGCCGTTAACCATCCAGGCTTCGTACTGCGCACGGACCTTTGCTTTGAATGGCTTATTGATGCACTTATCCAGGGGCTGGAGAAGGTTAAAAAATACAGTTTTCACCAAGCATCCCTGTATCTTTCATAATGTGAGTCACACCCCCCTCCCCACCCCAAACCACAGAAAACGTTTTAGAAGCAAAAATACTTTGTAAACAGGGGTTTTTGTGTTTGTTATGAAAAAAGCTTCATCCTGAAATTTTAGTTACTTTTAATTCTTTCTTTTTCTAACTTTAAAGGCTTACATCCAATACATGAAATTTGCACGACGGGCAGAAGGCATTAAAGAAAGCCGAGCTGTTTTCAAGAGGGCAAGAGAGGATTCCAGAACAAATTTTCATGTGAGTTTCAAAATGACTAGCAGGTGCAGGTTTCATTTCTTGTCCACATTTGCAGATGTTTATTCGAAGAAAATAGAATTTTACGTCACTATTGGTAGTTATCTAGAAAGAATATTCTAGGATTACAGCAACGTAGTTCTTTCAGCTATCCAATGTGTTAGGCAAATTAAACATTCACTTTTTTTTTACCGTTCTTCTGTGAGTTTTGTTTTTATCATATGGCAGTTAAGAGTACATCTGAATTGTTTTTTGTGTTTCTTTAAAAATTTATATCTATAAAAATTTTTTTTTAAAAAAAAACTTTTCAAATCCATTGTGTGTTACTTTCCAGGTTTTTATTTCTGCTGCTCTTATGGAATATTTTTGCAGTAAAGTAAGTCATACAGTCTGGATTACTTGTAATTCTCTGGTTAAATGTAAATTGAAACTGAAAAAAGTAACAGATTGATGTGCACTGGATTAATTAATTATGTCCATGATCATCACTTTTTAGGACAAAGCTGTTGCATTTAAAATATTTGAGCTGGGCGTGAAGGTAAGACTGGAGTCTACCCCAGGTACATGTAATACTCAAACCTTTTGTTTGTTTTTGTTTTTGTGGTTGTTGTTTTTTGTTTTGTTTTGTTTTGTTTTTTCTGTTCTGTGGCTGTAAATGAGCTGAGTTTAGAATGCGACAATACAAAATTAACCTGTTTTTACTTTTTGAATCTTTCTCTGATAGAAATACATGAATGAAACAGACTATGTGTTGGCTTATGTAGACTATTTGTCACATCTAAATGGTAAGTTGTTAGACCTGATATGCTGTTAAACGTACAATTTTGCATTGCATGCACCATCCAACTTTCCTCCATGAAAAGTGTGTTAACTGTGGTCGTTGTGTTGGCTTATGTAGACTATTTGTCACATCAAAATGGTAAAATATTAGACCTGATATGCTGCTAAACATGCAATTTTGCATTGCATGCATCATCCAGCGTTCCTCGATAAAAGTGTGTTAACTCCCCCTGTGGTCTTAACAAGCCACCTCCATCCTCCTTACGTTTGACAATAACACAGATCTCAACTTTTGTTACAGATGACAACAACACAAGAGTCCTGTTTGAAAAGGTTCTTAGTTCCATGCCAAAAGAAAAAGCAAGGTACCTTAATTCACAGTGATTTTGAAGGTTGCATTACTAAGTATTCTACAGGGTTTTCAATAACAGCTGGTGCCTGGCGAAATTTGTCGGCTATTTCACATGAACTTGCCGCCTAATTTTCTTTGGAAATTATCCCAAAAAAGCCCAAATTTAGTGTTCTGTTCAAACACTCTAATTTTTGCTCCAGAATGCTGGAAATGCACTCTAAGAGGCCCAGATTCCAAAATTTTTCCAGGACCCTCCTAGTAACTGAGTAAGTCGTGCCTATGCCACGAGTTGTTTCCTTCTCCACCTACTCCAAAGATTTTGCGACGTACTTGAAACCTTATTGAAAACCCTTATTCTAAGTTGTTTAATATGCTTTGAAAATGTTTTTTAACAACGACATATTTTTTTCAGTGATGTATGGGGAAAATTCCTAGACTTTGAGGGCACAAGTGGTGACTTGGCCAGCCTAGTCAAGGTGGAGAAACGAAAACTGGAAGTGTACAAAGAGGTGAAGATTAATTAAGTAGCTTGTTTATAATTTATCAAGTTGAGTTTCATCCTTATCAATAGACCACTTTTATTTCCAATGTGTCCTCATTTTCTCAAAACAAAACTTTTTTGAGAGCACTCTTTGACTGATGCTTCACTTGATAGGCCGGGGGAGGTTTAAGGTAGGGAGGAATTTTAAAGAAAAACAATCTACAGACAGGAAAGTGTACAAAAATATATTCGAAAACCTTCTGATTCCTCATACCCCGTACCCACACACCCTCTCTCATATGACCTTATTATCAGTATTATATTTGCTGTCTTTTGTCAGGAGTTAGAGGGCCTTGAAACATCATTACTTGTAGACAGATATAAGTACTTGGATCTTTTCCCTTGCTCTCCTCTGGAGCTTAAAATCATGGGCTATGTGGTGAGTCAATTGTTGGTTCCTTCTAATTGCTGGGGCGCCATGTACCTCTTCGTACTTTACTATTAATTTTTATTTGCAGTTGTCCTCATGACTGTCACTGTTTCAACTTATCTTTGTGTTGTTTGTCACCATTTTATCTGTTAAGGTCATAGTGCTTGTCAGAATTGATCATAACAGTACCTAACCTACAAGTTTAAAGCCTGACTGCTTTGTCCACAGCCATCAATAGTTTATTGATAGCATTTTCATCTTGTAGGGTTCCACAAGGCAAAGCAGTAGTATGCCAAGTACACTCTCGTCTGGAACCATCCCAGATGAGCAGAGTGAAGAGAAACCAGCTAAATTCCCTAGACCAGATGTATCACAGATGACACCATTCAAACCAACCGCTAGTGCTGGTAAAAACATCTAACATCAGTCGGGTTTAAATGGGAACTGGACAAAGGCAAAAACAACCCAGCCAATCTATTCAGAACAGAAAGGGTTTAATATTGCCATTCCAGAAAGTTTTTTTTTTTTAATGGCATGTTGCTTTTCAACCATGAGTGATACTTTTGGCTTGTAGATTGTCTGTCTGTCTGTCTGTCTGTCTGTCTGTCGGAATGTTGTAACACAGTGTAGGAGTAATTTTGCTAATATTTATACTAGTAAGTGACCACTGAAAGTAGCTTCTTGGCCCAGTTGTTCAAAGGTCAATTAGTGCTTACCAAGGGTTAAATTTTTCATTCATGTTTCTTTTTCTTTTGTTCAAAAGCATTTCTTGGATAAATTTCTCTATTCTTTGTGGAGGATCTATCATCAAATTATAGGCGAAAAGAATTAAACAGAATTTGCTTTTTAAACTTTTGTATCTGAATTCAAGTTTTGCACTAACCCTGGGTTATGCTAACCTTGACTCAACTCTCTGCAGAAACAATTATTGAAAATTATTGAAATACATTCTTTGAAAGGAAAGACCAGTGTTCATATCACATGTTAAATTACTGTACTCCGAACAATAGTGTTATCCATAGGGTTGAAATTTATCCAGAACACATCTCAGGCCTGTTCCCTTTGCTTACTGATTTCAGTCTACCAAGTAATTCCAGGCGTCTCCATGACTTATATTCACCATTGCTTGTGTGTTGATTTTTTGCAGCTGGTGTTCACTCCGTACCTGGAGGAGTCTTTCCCATGCCTCCAGCAGCAACACATCTTTTGACCATGTTACCTCCCCCCTCATGCTTTCAGGTAAATGTGATTACTTAGTTCAGCCCTAACGACAACTTCTCTATTCTAAAAATTATGTATCCCTTAAGTCCCAAGCCGCGTGATCAACATCAGTTTTCTCCGAACAATATCAATACACAATCAATGGAAAAAGCTATTAGAATTAATAATTTGATCACCAAAGTAAAAATACCTTGATCTTTTCTCAAATTCTGTCAACTAATTATTTAAGGTAATGCATGTATGGAGATCAGTCTGGAAAATTTGAAGATGAAAGGTGATGTTACACGAGACGATTCACAATGACGATATTAAGCACAACACTGCTTTGCAATGTTGGAACAATGTTGCAACTGTTCGCAAGAATATTGTAATGCTGCGTTGTGCTAAAAATCGTTGTTGCAAATCGTTCCGTGTAACATCGGTTTTAAAAGGGTTAATTTAGGGGTAGAATTTATTATTTATATTGTGGAATGGTGCAACTTATGGTGGTAAAAATCTGAACTGACCACCATTAGGTCATAGGACATTTTGAAGCAATGGAAACTATTGGATAGCCAACTAAACCATCTTTTTTCAGTTTTGAACAATGAGTGCATGTTGGTGCCAGCTCTTACAGGGTTGCCAAAAACAGCAGGCAGCCGGCACAAATCACCACCTACGTCACAATTTTGGCAGGCTACTCTGCTGTCTTATCCCTCTAAATTTTATCTATAAGAGATGACAAATTCATCCACCTTCTTCAAGAATAACGCTGTATAGTTCAAAACTTTCTGGCAGCCCTGCCCTAACAAGTGAAATTAAATTAGGGCAGCCTGCGCCCCACATAACGATATTCGGGTAGCTTAAAGAGGCGTTGTCAGATTTTTCCGATGACCCAAGACCCCCGCCCCATCACTTTTATGCGGAAAATCCCTCTGGGAGGTCAGGCCCGAACTGCAACTTACCAGTGCAATGGAAAATGGTGGTTTGACATGTCAGACATGTTATTTATTGCTTTGGGGTTGTTTGGCTTCGTCAGTGTGTAGAAGCATGGAAAAATTCTTTGGGTATTATCCATTAGGGATGACTGATTGTTATAACCAGACTAATGTCATTGCACTGTGAAAATCTGACATGACTTTTAGTAGTCTTCTTCAGAAATACCAGTGCTACATTAATCAACAATGGACTGACATAGTTACTTTACAATGGAAAATGTGCTCTCCTTATTGTTGAACATTGTCATATTTCATTTGGTCAGTAAACAAAACTCCATAAAATTGTATTGATGATAATATTTCTTATATTACTGATTGACACGTTATATCTCATAGTTTAACCTCGTATTTAACAGAGTTAATATTTTATATTTAGGGGCCATTTGTGATGATAGATGAGTTTATTAAGTTAACACTTGAACGTGAAATACCGGAACTTCCACCATCAGGTCTGTGAGAATGTTTATTGCCTTTGCATCCTTCACTTCTTAATCATCTTTTTTTGTATTTGTTGGTGTTGTTTTTTTTGGCTTATATTAAGTTGAAAGCCCATAGGGTTTTTTGTTTGCAATCTGAAGCTGTGCATGTGTCAATGTGTCAATGTGTATCATACTTAAACACACGTTTCAGAATGATCATGAGTTACATCATCTGGTCCCAGTTGTTCAAAAGATGTATAATGCTATCTGCTGGATAAATCTCTATCCACTGTACAGCCCAAGATTGGTGTTTGTAATACTTAGCTGTCGGGTAGTGATTTAACTGGTGTATTAAGCACTTGTATCTAACGTTTGAACAACTGAGTAGGTCTTTCATGCATCAGACTTTCATACTCCCATTCACTTTTGAAAGTTTTAAACACTCTTACAACCTCATCTGGCATAAATTGCTATTACATGTAGTGAGTACATCAACCTTTGCTTGATAGCTCGTTTTTCTCCTCAAAAATATTAATAGGGAAACTTTCCTGTGTTAATTATGTTTATTTAGTCAATTATTATGTTATTAGTCATTTTTCTGACCCCAAACTAAGCAATTTACAGCAACTAGAAGAGATGGTCTCGCACATAAGCCGCACCTATGAGTTTGAGCCTAAAATTTAAGCAAAAAGATGTGGCTTATATACTATTGTGGCGTAATTTCAATACTCTTTGCGTTGTGTTCACAGGATTACCAGATTCTGAGGCACCTATGAATGGAGTGGAGAGTAGTGAAAGTAGCATGGATGTTGAGCAGAACAAGCGAGGTGTCAAACGACCAGGTGTTGACCATGAAAGTGATGATGAGAGTTCATCTGCTGCACCTCCTGTGAATGATATTTACAGAAGTCGACAACAGAAGAGAGTACACTAGTGGGATCACTGGCCATTAATACCTCATAAGTAGCACAGTGCAGCCTTAGCGAGTGCCATATGTCGCCATGGCTACACACCCTCTATTGTAGACTTTTGTATAAACTCTTGAAGCCACAAGGCGAAAATGCCTTCTAGACCTCCTCTCCTGCCCCCACTGGCTAATTAAAAAAGCCCATCCCTGTTTATAACATTTGTTTGAACTCTAAAAAGGAAAAATTAACTTTTTCAACAAACCAAGCACGCTAGTTCAAAAATAGTGAAGTAGTGTGGTTTTCTTAGGGCCTGTTTACACAGGCAATTTTTTGCACGGTTTTTGATGCAATTTCAAATCGCAGGAGTATAACTCCTGCAGATTTTCACGGTGATTGGCACTACTAAATCACTGTACTTCAGAATGTGCCTGAATTTTCATTCAACTGTTAACTTTATTAGTCAGCGGTAGTTAGCGGAAAGCTACCTTATGGTAAGAAAGTGTTTACGTCAGATGCATCTTCAGGGTAGATGAGAGTTTACCACACAGAATTCTCCGGCTAACGTTGGTATATCCTGTGACTAGTGGAGCCTCTTTCAAAATATTCTCCTGTGAGGTTACACCTTTCTCCTGCTACTGGAATTTTTTATGAAAACCTTGATCTTACTGAGGAAACTGCTGCAATACTATTCTTAACTATTAATAATTAGTTTAATATAACCTCCAACAAATCGCTGTAAAATCTCCACGAAATTGCAGGAAACATTGAAGCAAATCATGAACTCCACACAGGGTTGAATAGAACAACTATCTAAACTGTTCTTTTCCACGTTTAATAGTACACTGGTCGTTTGGAAATGAAAAAAAGGTGGGATACATCGCAAATAGATTTGAAGTATAGAATATTGTCCACAGAATCCTGCTATAACATGGTTTAGTCCTTCAACAGGCGCGTTCTTCTACAAAGTTTTACAAAGTTATACCTTTTTTGAGGTTAGGGGCTCTTGCCTCTAATCGATTTTTTAATTCATCCGTCTTTACCAATAACTGTAAAAAGAAACAGGTCACATTTTCTTTTTCTAACACACAGTGTCACAATGTTGTATTTATTCATCTAGTAGATCCTCTCCAAATGGCTAAATAACCTATACAAAACATGCAACAAAGTTGTAATAAAATTTAGCTTGGTGTAAGAGACAAGTGCACACATTGTGGCAGTTACTTATAGTACCTCAACTGATATCAGTCTTCAGAGAGAGGATCTCTGGCCATTACCAGCTATCTAAAACTAACCTAAGCTTTTTTTTCTCACGGGTCTTTTAAAATGTAATAGGTAGATCTCAGCATATCATGATGTATTTTGCTGTAACCCACAAATGCATTTTAAACAGAGTTTGATAAAGGATTATTGAGGTGGTACAACTTTTCCTTTTAACTGTTAGGTGCTACTCATTTCATGCTAGATTGTTGGCATTCTTTCTTTTTTCCTAACATTGAAAGTAGAAGACTTTTCAGTGTTAAGCTCCCACACCAGATCATGCATGAGTGTGAGTGGCTACAATGTATCATAGGGTTTCACCAGAGACTCTTAAGGGATTGAAACGTGCATGTTACTATCATATGTTTGCTTTGTCCGATGCTCGTGAACTTTCATTCTTTCTAGTACTTTATTTGGAAAGAGAAGAAAAGATATCTGACCAATCAAACTTCGTAAATGACGTGACGTAATTTTACTCCACGTTTCCAGGCCCTCTCGGAAAATAGGGAGATCAAGGAAAAACTACGGCTAGGGCTACGAAACATCACTTTAAAAAAAGGTGAATTTGCGCTCCTTCAAACTTGTTCCATCTCGTTCAGTTCGTCGAATGTTAGCAACCTTTTCTGGAGTTGAATTCGAAAGACTGTATCGAAGTTCAGGAAAAGAAAAAGAAATTCCTTGTCTTGTGTTTTCATCCTCCACGAATCGTAAAATTAGGCACTTTCACGTCGTAACCGTGAAGTAACGGCAAAGAAATGTACAAAAAAGCGTGATGCTCGTGCAAGCTTGTTGTTAAGCCTATTGCTTTCCAAAGGTGGTCTTTCGAGGGTTCCCAAATATGGTACTTAGAAAAATGAATATTCACGAGCATTGAACGCAGGTTCTACGTTTCAACCCCTTAGTGAGTTTCTGGTTTCACTTAAAATACATCCTGGACACTTTTGCCTAATGTAGTTTGACAGACTTACGAAAAGTTTCATCTTAGCCAGTCAACAACCCTATTGCCAGGCCCTCTCTTTCCTTCCAAATACCGTATTTATTCGAATAAGCGCCCAACCTCTAATTAGCACCCACCCCCACTCCGTCCCAATAAAACTCAAATAAGCGCCCACCCCCACCCCACCCACTTGAGTGACAATGAGATTGAAATTGAAAATGAATAAGTACTAATAAGAGACTTGCCCGAAGACGGAGTTTTCTTCAGAGTATTTTACAGAAACCTTGCTTTGTTACTTCTTTGCGTTTTGTTATTAGCATTTACTGTTTTGTTGCAAAATAAACATACTACACTTGCTGAAAATGGGGAAAATTTAATAAGCGCCCAGCCTCGAATAGGCACCCACCTTGAATAAGCGCCCAGGATAGTTAATCGAATAAATACGGTAAGACAAACTTTGGGGCTTCAGTATTTCATGCAGAAGAATGACTTGGCCACACAGAATGAAGAAGAGAAAAGAAATTCACTTCTTTCCATTACTTGGGATTACTGTATTTTCTCGAATAGCCATCTGTCGAATAATCACCCCCCTTAGACCGAAATATTTAAAATGATCGCCTCCCTCGAATAACCACCCCCGGCATCTCGCTATTGATACCCATAGCGGTAAATCTCAAGGATGAGGCTGAAGTGGAATCTGATCCATGCAGAAAACTGATCAGTGACGACACCAAGGATATCAACAGTAAAAATTAATCAAGGAACCAAATTTGGAACACTAAAAAGCCCATGTTCAGTTTCTTTGATGTGATTATTTGTTATTTAATGGGAAAATAGAACAAAATGTTTGGGGCAAGACTTGCAGTGAGCAATATCTGAAATTATTATACATTGTACTCACTACCTGTCTCCTCATTGGCTAAGAGCCTACAGCTAATTTTGGAAATCAGTGCAACCTACAGATTAGTTAGTTATTTGCTAACAGATAACTGACTTATCTGTAGGTTGTGTGTGCAATGCATGATTTCCAATAACATCAATTATTCATGTTCTGTGCAACAGTATATTTGTCATTATTTTCCTCAAAAACAATGTATGACAAAACAATATTATTAATTAGATTCAGTTTTTGTGATATGCTAAATAATCAAGGTCTCAGTAAGTGTTATCAGCCTCGGCCCTCGGGTTGGCTGATAACACTTACTTACCTTGACCTTGATTATTCCGGATATCACAAAAACCTCATCCAATAATAATGTTGTTTATAATCGCCTTCCCTCGAATAATCGCCCCCTTTTGGGCCAAAAAAAGGAATAATTGCCCCCTGCTATTATTCGAGGAAATACGGTATACAGCTGACCCTCCATTACGTGGCTACCCATGGGGTAGGCCAGCGAGTGGCTGCTTTATGGAGGTTGGCTGCTCAATAGAGTTTCATCATAAATTTGCATAATCTTTAGCAGAAACAACAATTTAATTTTCAAACACACAATGGGAGCAGCAGTACTGGTCCACAATCAGTTGCCACCTATCTCACAGGGTATTTTCCTTCATTATATTTTTAGAATAAAGCCAAACTGAGACTATAAAACCTTTTAGTCCTTTAGGCTTTAATAGGCCATTTTACAGTTGTGTGCTCAGTGCCCTGGCCATTGAATAGAAGCGAGGATGGCGGTGACCTTGTTTTGTTAGAAACCTTCTTGTTTTTCACATGTAAATGATCAAGTTCACAGGCTTGTTGGCATGAGAATACCACGATTTGCACATGAAAAACAAGAAGGTTTGCAACAAAACAAGGTCACCACCAGTCTCGCTTCTATTCAAAGGCCAGCGCACTGAGCACACAACTGTAAAGTTGACAGGGACATAGCTTAGTGTCAGCTGCTACTGAAAGAGAGCTTACAACTAGCCCAAACTGATTTGGCAAACAAAGGACAGGGTGGCAAAGGGGTTTTCAGTGATGCTTGAGGGGTCATGAATTATCAGCGTGATGCATGATCAGGAACAAATTAGTTGCAAGAGGCGTGATTAGGCATAGCTGCCCTTTTAGCTGGGTGGTGTATAATTTTCTGTATTCACAACGAGTGACACGTGAGTTTTCTTATAGAATTCCGTGATTGGTGAATATCATTTGAAACTACAAGCACAGACATTAAAAACAGATATTCATGACATCATTTTCTTTTCTACCCAAAAAAGACCCTGAAAGCAATTTATTAGAGCTGATTCATTCAAGGGTTGATATATTGCCATGTTAACTTACTCATTTACATGATGCGTGATGGCTAATTCAGTTTTCCCTGTGATGCGTGATAACCCAAAAAAAGTCAACGCAATGCCTGATACGTACACCCCTTTGCCACCCTGATAAAATGGTTTTATTGTTTGCCTTTTGTTGATATTGTTGCTTTTTGTTTTTTGTATGTTTTTTCACCTACCCACCCCAACATAACCCGCATTTATAATTTTAGCGCTGTATGCTGTATTGAGATATAGAAAATTCCTCCAGCCGTTCTTCCGCAGGTAACACGTTATTTAGTCTTTCCATCATAGGTACAAGACGCTTGAGGTTAGCGTCGATTCTCCTGAGATTAGAGTTCATTTCCTCTACCTTCCTTAGCTGTCCAGCCACATAAGAGAACTTCTTGTACCTGTCACTTACTCCTCGCAAAACTGTAGCACAATATGTATCCATTTCGCGGACTTGTGACGAGAGCATGTGTTGGTCAAATGCTACAGCCTCGGCACATTGCTTCAGGTGCTTTTCATATCGTGAACACAGTGACAAACACGGGCGAAGGTCAAACTTATCAAAAAACTCCAACTCTCTAGCTGAAGAGGCGGAAATTGAGCTTCGAAGGAGCGGATAATAGAATGGTATTTTGTTCAAGTTTCTCGTATCAGGATCTTCAGTTTTGGAGACAAGTTTTGGGCTTCCAGTGGGCGCATTAACGACCATAATATCTTCCAGCTTGGCTCTCTGTTTCGACTTCGGTTTTGCTCCCTCCTTTTCCACAGAATACGAGGTATAAGGAACATTTGGATGGCCCATTTGACCCGCTAAACTACTGCTTTGATCTTGCCCCATTCTCAAAAACTGTAATAACCACTATTTAAATAGCATCAAAGAGGAAAGGCTCTCGCCTCAGCGAGACGGTCCGCCATCTTGCATCTCATGACAAAAGCCCTCAGACCTCCCTAACAGCGGTTCTCCATCGGGTACCCTGGCCATGGTAGGTACTTCATGTATGGGGACATATATTGGCCCTGCCCAATATATCGTGCCCGATGAGACGACTTTTTCGGATTCGTTTAATTTGTTTTACATTAGACAGTCCGCCTTTTCTCTTAAAATCCGTCTAGTGCCTATCTCAGTTAGCGCAATTACAAACCATGTGCAGTAACTTTGTACAAAAAAATAAGAGACTGCTCGCAGTCTAGTTTTACATTCATAACATAAGGTATGAACCAATGAATCGTTGTTCTAATGGTGAGGGGAAATAGTAAATTATACTCTATTAGCTTCTATTAAAAATAAACGAGCGACCATTTAATGGCGAGGGTTTTTAAACCTTTAACCTAGTTAAAACTAGCTTAACGGTTTGTATCATGACAACAACAACATAATGACGAATGGTAATTTTTAAAAAATAGTCCTCTGAGACGACATGGGCCCAACTGCAGGCAATGAATAGTCTGTACAAAAACCACGTCATTGCAAAACAAATCTCTCTTCAAGGTAGTCACGTTGTGTAGCGACGCACGGCACGTGCACTTTTTGTCACTGTTTTTCACGTGCTATAGCACGTCGTATTAAAGGTTGGTCCGGCGAACACAGGCAATATTCAGGGTAGGCCGGATTCAGGGTCAGCCAGGGTTTGGGGGTATACAGTATATTGGGGTATTGAATTTCGGAAGCTATACAGTATTTTATGCGTAAATTTGGGTATAAAGAATTCACTCACAACTAATTTTTCGTATAAAGTATACCTTGGTTTTTTTTAATTTTGGTATTTTACACGAGTTTTAGTATAATTTTTGGTACATTGGAAGGTTTATTTTGGGTATTTTGGTGTTCCACTACCACCCCCACCCCTACTGGCCGACCCTGAATATTAAAAAGTTTACAGATACGGCTCTAGGACCGGACCATTGTAATTTCTGGCCAAGATTAAGCACGCGAATGTATAAGAGACTTTGTATGAGAAATATATTACTGAGATCTGCAAACGCTAAACAACGCTAAACCTTACTTTTTCTTAAATGAAATGAATAAAAAAGACTTACCTGCAATGCATTCCACTGCATTTTGGTGTTTGATTGTCGTTTACTGTTTTTTTTGGCTTTATTGCGTAACCACTGTTACTCCTCACATGAAAGGCGGAGTAACACGGCAGTAGCTCGTCTTGTTTTTAAACAGTCAGACGTCGTGCTACCGCCGTGTCGAACTCAATACATAACTTATAAATGCGTTAGAATACATTTAAAATTTCGCTAAACAGCTTGAGCCCGCTTCTTTATTTTTGTGTTTTGTTTTCGGCAACAGCCGTTCTATTCGACTGAATTAAATTCGACGTCTGAAAGCAAGTCGTGCTAGTGTCGTGCTAGTGTCGAGCTACAGTCGAACCAGCTTCGCACGGCTGTAGCACGACGTTTGAAACAGGCCTTAAGGCACCGGGGGACACCTATCTATGAATAAATCATCTTTTAAAGCGCTTATATCTCGCCTGTTTTAGAGGCGATTTACAGTAGATAAAACTTAACAGAGACATAATGGAAGTTTAGGACGTTGTTTTTTATGTTTTAGATTGCACTTTACGATAATACTTTAAGCCACAGTCGTACCAAATTGAGAAAACACGATTTTGTGTCCAAGTTTGCGGATCGAACAGAGGAAAACACTCTGTGATTTTATTAATAAATGATAGGTCAAAATCTCTAGTTTGACATGCATAGAGCAGATTTTACTATTTTATAGATTGCCAGCGAGATTTAATCGTTTAAATGAGCAAAATCTGTCATCCCCGAAATTAAGGCCTTATATCTTTTTCTAAAAGCGCTCTTTTAGAATGCCGCTGTCAAATTATACACTAGCTCTTGAAGATTTGTATCTCCGCTGAACTCTTTGAGACTCCCGAAGGTGTCCCGACTAAGCACGAGTTCCAAACAGACGACGATCGAACAGTATCCCATGATGCACCTCATCTCATGTTATGTTGTCACTGCGTACGTGACATATCGTGAACAGTGTTCTTCAGCACGCGCGAAGTGAACGTACATCGCGGTGTTCCATGTGGATGGTTTCCAAACATGTTTCGGTTCCGCAGCTTCTGCTTTTGAGAATATCTAGTTAGCTTATATTCATTGTGCTTTAAAGGAGAATTTAAGCGTCACTTTGAAGGGTTTTACACAGTCTGGTAGTTGGGTAAACATTAAAAGGGAAATGGTCTCCTCGCCAAATGATAAAGAAGTAGCTAATTCTTCTAAAAAAACCATACCCAATTCAAGACTAGAGCACAAACCATACCCTAATTCAGACCAAAATGGTCGAAATTGATCCCCTATTAGCAAACCAAAAAGGCTAAAAAAAAACATACCCTTTGGCGTGGCACATACCTATATAGCCCATTTAAGGTGATTCCCTGGTTTTGCATAACAAGATGGCCGCCGTAAAAAAGAGCATGTGAAGTAACATTATTAAATGAAGTTGACTGAAGAGGAACGCCATTGGAATTTTTGCTTGGGGTTGTTTCTTGCCGAGGTGAGACTCAGTGTGTTTGGAATGTGTATCAAGCAATACGCGTATTGCTGATTTCGACTTCCTCACGGAAAACCTCGATAGTAGATGTTTAACTTGTGCTTACTCACTTTGATTTTCATTTAAACGCTTTCTTTATCACATTGTGTCCTAAATGTGATATCTCGATGTAAATTCTCTAAAAACGGATTTTTTTATATACTTTCTTACCCCTTTCACATACATTCTATTTTGAAACTCGCTCCAGTCCTCTCGCAAAAATCGGAGAAAATGTATTTGGTGCGCACTTTCTGCAGCTCTGCGGCAAAAACGAGTTGGGTGGCCCCCATTTTTTATTTCATGATTTTAATAAGGACAGTGCTTCCTCTCGATGAGAAAAAAATTGGCACAAATCTATGTTCAGTTTTTTGGCAATTTTACTAAATTGTACGGATTGAGCTATCACGGGTCGAATAGCGCGCGCGTGCCCAATTTAATTCTACTTTGGAGCGTAAAGTAAAAACAAAGGCACTAAAATGCATTTTTCTGGTACGTCAGTGGACAAAGAATACATTAAAGTCAACTTCTTTGCGATACCACATGCATCATCGAAAAAATCTCTCCTTTTTGTCTAGTTTTGGGCTGCGTGCAGTTTTTGTCAAAGGGTCCTAAATAGCCGTATTTGTCAGCGTTGTGACGTCAAAACGAGCACGGTGACCCCCACTTTTTATTACTTTTTTTGTCATCTGCTTGACTTGTTTCATTATTGTACCAAGTTTCATCTACACTCTATGCTAGGTTTCTTTACTAAGGAATCACCGTAAGGGACCAGCCCCCCGGGGCGAAAAACGCGTTGCAGATTATGAGTCTTGCCGCATACGCAAGCGAGACTAATAATCCTTGACTATGAAAGTGACATTTTTAACAGCTTTTCAAAATAGTATTAAAATTTTTTCTTCAAATTTGTAGGATTGTTCATTAGTTAGTTTTTCAAAAGAAATTGTTACTTCTGCTCTGACAGGCGAAAAGTACGGTCGGCGACACGAAACAAACGTTTTGTATTTTAAAAATCGCTTAATAAACACGGGAGTCGACCCAGTTTTATGACAATTAAATATTTTTACCTGTTTTTTACTACTGTGTCTGCGAGACTAAAACATAACTTAAGATTTTTATTCCAGTAAACTACGATGTATGAAAAAAAGAAAAGATACGAGTATTGTTGTGATTGTTTTAGAAAAAAGGTATGTAAAGCTACAAAGTCCCGCATTGTCTTTGGTGTCGTGACAAGTCATTACGTATCACGTACTAAGAGTAAATAACCAAAAACTAAATTTTTAGAGGTCAAAGTAGAGCTAGCTGGCTACTGAATCCACGAAAAGCTCATTTGTCCTGAACATTTCGCCGATAATATAAAACAACGACTTTCCAACAAAATGATCTACTCAAAAGAAATAAAAGTTTTGGGGCGGCTGCGGTTTTGTTGAAATTCAAAGCAGCTTTCCCGTAAAGCTCCACGGGATCTCAGCCATTTATCTTAAGCGAATTTTCTTTTCAACCTAAATGATTAGTAAAAATAATAGCGTCCTTATTCTTGACCCAAACATTTTGATAAAAAATACATAGGCAGACCACAATCTTAATTACTGTCTACTCTCTCCCATATGTCCTCTGTGTCCCTTGTTTCCCCTTGTGTCCTCTGTTTCCCCTGAGTCTCTCGTGTCCCCTTGTGACCCTTGTGTCTCCTTGTGTCCCCTTTTGTCCCCTGTGTTTCTTGTGTCCCTTATGTCCCTTGTTTTCCCTTGTGTCCTCTGTTGCCGATGTGTCTCTTGTGTCCCCTTGTGGCCCTTGTGTCCCCTTGTGACCCTTGTGTGCCCTTTTGTCCCCTGGGTTCCTTGTGTCCCCTGTACCTCTTGTGTCCCCTTTTGTCCCCTTGTGTTTCCTTGTGTCCCCTGTGTCTCTTTTGTCCCCTGTGTCCACTGTGTCCCACTGTGTCCCTTGTGTCCTTTATGTCCCTTATGTCCCTTGGGTCCCCTTGAGTCCCCTGTTTCCCCTGTGTCCACTGTGTCCCTTGCGTCCCTTGTGTCCCCTGTGTTCCCTTGTGTCCTCTTGTTCCCCCTGTGTCCCTTGCGTCCGTTGTGTCCTCTTTTGTCCCCTTGTGTCCTCCTGTGTCCCCCCTGTGTCCCTTGCGTCCCTTGCGTCCCTTGCGTCCCCTGTGTCCCGTTGTGTCCCTTATGTTCCCTTGTGTCTACTGGAGTCCCCTGTGTCCCCCGTGTCCTTTGTGTCCCCTATGTCCCCCTGTGTCCCTTGTGTTCCCTTGTGTCCCCTGCTTCCCCTGTGTCCCTTGTGACCCCTGTGTCCCTTGTGTTTCTTGTGTCCCGTGTCCCCTGTGTCCCTTGTGTCCCCTAAAATAAATGGCGACGTTGCCCTGGTCTCTCATATTGCGCGAAAACTTTGATGGGTTTCATTGTTTTGGTATGACATCATGCGAGGCTTTTTTCGCACGCCCAGGAGGTCAAAGGATGTGAGTTTTCATGAAAATGAAGAATCAAAACTCTAAGTCCTGCTTCAGCTTGTTTAGAAAATAATTTGTTTAATTTTTAATAATTAACTAACAGCTCACTGATTTACTAATTTGAGCAACCAACTTGGAGGCCCGGGCACCCCAGCTAAAATGTTTGGGAGCCCGAAAGGTTCCTCGAAGATTATATTTGGGCGACCATCTTTTAGGCCTTGGCATCCCTGCTAAAATGCTTGGGAGCCCGAAGTGCTCCCTGAAAATTTTCCCTAAAGCACAGCCTTGCACCCTGTAGTTATTGTAAGTCTGATACATTACATGCTAATGTTGAATGTGAAGTGCATTTATTGAGGATATTAGTAAAGCAGGAAAGCAAATATTAGTGAAATACCCCATACTCTTAACATATATGGTGGCAATATTGATGTAAGTTTTGTTTTGAGGAGCAAAGGAACCCTTGTGAGTCACTCATATTCTATTGTATGTAACATAACATCTCCGTCTCTCCTGTACACATTTATTGTTGATACAGTGCTCAACTTTCCAATCCAATTCAACATAATTCTTACTTACACCAACGCATCCCGATTAAACGCCTTCAGGCGTCTTCTTGTTGAATTAAAACTCCCTGAATTATCAAGGTTTACTACCATTTAGGGCCCGATCAACTGGGCTCATGTGAACAGGCCTTGAGAGTCTGGATCGTCCAATACGTTCTGTCCGTCTGCTTCAGACGAATAGAAGACCCCATAAAACGTCTGAAGACTGGCGTCTCCGGGACAAACGTCGACCTTCCCATGCGACGAACTAAACTAATACTAATAAATTAAAATTTGTATGATAAAGTATATTTAGTCTCGTTCAGAAGAAAATTTCTTAAAATTACATTTTGGTCTGATTCAGTTGATTGGTTTGACGCATCCTAAGTTTGACGTCTGACCCAACAGACGATCTTAACTTAATTTATGTCGACCCAAATTAGAGTTTGGTTCGTCGCATGAAAATGAGGCCTTACATTTGATGTGTCATTATAAGTAAGTTAGAATTTCAGCCGTGAAACTTGAATAACTGTGCCGTGAACAGTGTTTTGCTAGTGTCCCCGACATATTTCATGAACGGAACCAATTCAGTCAAATTTTCGGTGGCTGGGGTTGCACAGAGTTTGACTGTGAACGGGTCTGTTTCCCTTTTCCACAGCTCTCTCCGGCTCTCTCTTCGACCAGTCCTACCTAGGGACTACTCGAGGTCTAACTCTCTTGCTCCCTCAATGCAATAACAAGGCGACCGAAGGACAATTTAACTCATTTTTATTCTTCAATCGTCTTCTTTGTAATTGTTTTAAAATATCTAAGTTCTTATTTCAGTACTAAGCTAAGGGCTACTCTTTAGACTCGAAGGGAAAATGAGAATGTTCCAACAGTTAATGACAAACCTCAACTCAATCTTGACCCTATAAATATCACTTATCGCAACAATGAACTGTTAATCTTCTTTAATTTGGAACTTTCTTGGAACTGACACGAAAACCCTTCCGTAAACCAACCCGCAAAATCAGACTATTAATCTAAGAATATGAAGAAAAACTGTGCGTCATGAAAAATACGCAGTAAATAATCTTACAACAAAGGGCGAAAAAAAAACAATAACTGCAATACTTTGCGTAATAACTCAAATATCTGAAAGAATAGTTTGTCTTCTACTTGGCTAGAAAACTACTCTATTAAAAAAAATCCATCCATGTTTTTTGAAGTGATCGTTGTCGACTTCAAAACCAGCTTCTCAGCCGGCAAAAAGGTTGCTAAACTCAACAATTTCTCTTTTCCAGAAAGGAAATTACACGCTCAATTGACCGTAAACCATTTTTTTTTCAAAAGCAATAAATACACTGTAACTACCTTTATCATTTTTTTTCTTTCTGCATTTCAAAGATGCCTCAAACAAACCTAAATTTTTTAGTTCTTTTTGTACGTAATAAAGAAATATTTTATAAACTCTTTCTCTACAAATAGTTTATACATCCTCTCGGCGGACTCGCAATATCTCAAAATAAAACAATTCCGCCTTTCAGTGAAGTCGTTCTGAAACGAAGGTCCTCTTCAATGCGACAGATGTTGCTAGAAACGGAGAATCCTGCTATCTCCATGTCGTAAACGTGTTTACGCGTAATTTTTTCAACTTAAGCATTACAATTTTACTTCATCATTAATATGATTGCCATTAAGTACAATGTTCCACTGTTCCACGTGGCAATTCTATATTAAACAGTGAAGTGTAAGACATATTTATTACGTTCCGAAGATCTTCTCGGTTTGGACATAAAACGGACATGCACTTTCACAAAGTCTCCTTTCACTGGCAAGGGAAGAAGACCCTCTGTGCATAGGTAATCTGACTTCGGCATAACGGGCATTCCTTGCACATGGCTGAACAATCCACACAACAAACCACGTGACCACAAGGGCAGAAAGCAGTAGCAACCTCGCTATCCATGCATATCTGACAGATACGTGCATCCTGAAGGTGTCGTACCATAACCTTCAGCTCTTCTGAAGACATATTCTCCGTGCACTCTCGTTCTGTACAGGCTCTCTGTCCCTCGCCCCGGAACGTCCCAGGTTTGTCTTTTCTTTTCATGTTGTAGCACCTCCGTTGAGTGAGCGGAGACTGTACAGGGCGGTACTCCGCTGACGCACCCGCGCAACGGAAACTGCCAGAGGTGGAGCATGTCATGTCAATCATACGACACGAGTTAAGCTCGCCCCACGCATGACTGTATGCTTGACGCCGAGTGCGCTGCACGTCGAACAGGAAAATCCTGCCGAAGTCGTTACGAGGCACGAACACGGAAAACAGCCGGCCAGCGAATGTCCTCGTGCACTGATCGATAACTGATCGCTTGACAGTGTTACACTGGTAAAATGTGTGGTACTCGGTAAACGTTCGGAACAACGCAACTGCATCGCTCTCTGACTTCATCTTATAGGTGTCTCGCTGGGATAACGGCCCGGTGCCACCGTGGACGACAGTGAAACAGCGGTTGTTGTACGAAACGGTGGACACATCTTCAAAGGAAACTCTGAAAGTACAAAACAGTGACATGAGAAAAAAATGCAATCACAATACATGCTGTGGTTCAATGGTCCCTCCCAATGATCTTTGACATGGAGAAATCCATCCACAGCTCTGATGAGAGGGATGGGGCTTATTTGAGAGGGGGTCTTAATAGAGGATTTACAGTATGTTCCTCATATTTTAACCTGACTGACAATTTTAAACAGAACCTGTTACTATAGGGCCTCCAAGAATCAACGTTATCCTTTGGTCTTTGACCTTTGACATTTTCTAAGGGCGATTACATGCAAATGCAACTTTCGTTTCAGCTTGAGTATTGTGTTCATTTCTGTCTTCCATCTTTTTTAAGCCAAGCAGTATTAGTATCAACTTGGTTGACTGATTGCCAACTCTGATCTCGTGATTTAATCAGAAAATCTGTTTCTCAGCCGGCCAATAAACCTTGTCACGGTTTTCGACGCCATCTTGACGAGTAGGCAAACGCGTGAGAAATTACAATGTTTGTATGAGAATCTAATGTGGAACAATTTCCGTAGGACGGCTGTTCTGAAAAAAAAATATGATTTGTAAACTAAAGCTTCACTCCTAAGGATTCTCCTGAAAAAATTTGAGGGCGTTACATGCACTAGAAGACCTAGAACCACTTCTTAAAATTTTCTATACATTTGTCTGTAAGAAAGTCCCGGGAAAATTACAGACAAATGTATGGAAAATCTAACGCAAGCCTCCGGAGAAATTTAAGCACAGGTATGCCCCCCAAATTTTTTACGGCACTCCTTTGCTTTGTAGCTTTAGTTTACAATTGATAATTTTTTCTGAACAGCCGTTTCACGGAAATTATTCGACATTAGATTCTCATACAAACACTGTAATTTCTCACGCGTTTGCCTACTAGTCAAGATGGCGTCGAAAACCTTGACAAGGTCTATTCCACTTTTGTGGTATTTCCAGTAACATTCAAACGGCCGATGCTTTCACTACAGGTAAATTAGTCCAAGAGGATATAAGGGCTGAAAAGAAGGTGTCCACAGATTAGTTTAGTTCCAACAGCGTGCGTTTTCAACTGCTTAGAGCCCGAAGATGTCAGTGAAGGACGATGCTTAAGAAACCCGCAGCACGCGAGATATACCTCCAGCTACCAAACAGGCACCCAGGGTCTAATAAAGTCAAGTGCGTAAGGGGTTATTCATTCCACAAAGGAAGACAAAATTAGTCCTAGACTGTAATAATAACAATGTCAAAAATTAAAATAAGCTCGGAAACGGAATATATACTATGACTCAGTTGTGCTAATCATGAAAAGGAAATCTGTAATGCGTGGCCAGCGGTGAACGGTCTTATTACACATTGTACTCACGTTTTCGCAGGAAAATTTTTTACTCTGATTAAAAAAATACACGTGTGATATTCGGCTAGCTAATCTCTGCAGTATGATTATAGCGGATTCAGGATTGACTGACGTCAACGAATTTCGCTTAAGGACAAAGCCCTAAAGACGATTACTAAGTAGTGAGGGGCATTTTGAATAACTCAATTTATTTATACGAAGTCATCTAGAGTAAATAACACATTGAACTTAATTAAAAGAGTAATAGGGTTGGCAAGAAAGCGTTCTTTTCTCGATTCAGTTCATTCTTAACTTTGTATCTTGTTTAAAACAGATTCTCGGTTGTTCAGGTAGCCATCTTGTAACAATGAAACTCTAGCAGCATTGACAGGTACCACTGAAACAGAACATGAGTCTCCAACTAATATTACAGGGCTGTCACTGAATCTCGATCACAAAAGCAAACAAGCCGAGAGCTTGAGAAAACACTCGTCTCTTAGAAAAGGAACGTGATTATATCTCAGCGGTGTAGCGGGCGGATACATTCAAGTTTAAAACAAAGGTTTTTGTCGCCAAAAAAAATTGAAATAGCACGAGTTCTTTCTTAAGCTTTCCTTTCATTCTTTCAATTACAGTCAATTTTTTGCTACAGATGTACAAACGCGACTTCATATGCGAACTGCTGTTCCCGCATTTTATTTCCCTGTTTATTGAAAGAGTACACTGTAAACATCTGCCTTCCTTATTTGCTTTTATGCAATTTTCGTATTCAATATCGGATAGCCTGCAGTTCTCTTTGCTTTTCATTTCATTACGAGAAGCACTCTACCATTTTCCTACAAAATTGAACTACTTCCACCTTGAGAATACCCGCAGGCGGGATAGAATAAAAACGAATTAAAGATAACTGCAAAGGTGACGTCCAAAAAAAAATAAAAAATCTAGATCCATCGGCTTGGTTCTCGCTCAAATGTAAACTCGCCCGATATCAGCTCCGTGAATTTTTTTCGTTATAGCGATACTTTCTGAGAAGAGGAAAATAAAAGAGCGACTTCTCCAAAAATTAGTCGTTTGCGGTCTCGCCAGATAAGACGTCTGTGTGCCAATGCAAAACAAATAGTAGCTCAAATCAACCACAGACTGAAAAACTCAATTATATGTATTTCGATTTAAAAAATCTGTCATTTAGATTCACGAAATTCCATGCACTTCCAAAAAAAGAGAAAAGATCACCATTAAAGTAATTATAGTTTTTTCTTTTTTAAAAAAATCGAAATAAATAGTTTTGAAGTTGTTTTTCTAGTCCGTAAGACAAGTCGCTGGACTTTTTAAAAAATTTATATTCGTCAGTAAAAAATTGCCAAGGTATAAACAGATGATTTAAAGATGCAAATTGTTAATCCCCAAGAAAACTGTTTTGGTTTAAAAGTTTAGCGAGTGGCAATTCGAACAAAAAGGTTTAATCATTTCAACTTAAGATAAACTGGATATTATAAACGACAATTATCTACGCTCAGTTCAGAAAAAAACATTTTGCGCGTGATAAAATTAAAGGATATTTTTTAAAATATGGAACATGTTTCCGCTGAAAGAAAGGGCGCACTGCAAGCCAGATTTTCACTTTAAATAACTTGTGCTTTTAAAGCTCAGCTCAACTTAGTTTCCTAGCTATAGTTCAATCCAAGAGAGAAATTTAGGCTTACCTTTTTTCAAGAATTCTCCTTGCCACATCTTTGCCTTGTTTCCCGTCATATTCTCGGCTTACACTGAACACTCGTATGCCATCACTGCCGACATAAATGTCAACCTTTTTTAGCATTTTATCATCGCTCAGGCGTCCATGAAAAACCTCGATTCCATAGCCAGGAATACCACCAGATATGTGCAAAAACTCGATTTTCGATTCGCTTATGGGAGAGTTAACAAGCTTGGCGTGCTCAATGGCTGCGTCCTTTTGAAGATCTGAGGTTTTGGCATAGACATTGTAAACAGACAAGGGAATATAACAGGAATATTTTGGAGTTCGTTCTTGGGTAAAATCCCCGCATTCTATATGAGCAAGCAGGGCACATAGCCGAGCGATGGTCTTCGTTTGCAGAGAGGACAAATCCAACCTTCCTTCCTTTATAAAGTTCTTTAACGTCAGATAATACTGGTGTCTGAAAATATGTTTAAAACAGAAATTAAGAACGAAAACGAAAGAGGTAGAACAGTAAAATAAACAAATGACAAATACTGATCGAGTGAGGTTTATATTAAGGAGTTCCAATAGCAGGTACAATTGTCATAACGCAATAACAGAGAACTAACGATAAAATTCATCTGTCTCGCTTACCGTGTTATTTCTTGCTGAAGCTCCTGTGGTTTCACGAAGAATTTTACTAGGAAATACAGTCGATAAGGGGGCTTTCCTGTTAGCTGAGACGCCATAGAATTTCTCAAATTTAACCAAAACTTTTCTCCTTTCGCGCCACCAAATTTCAGACCAAAATAATCCCTCTCGACAAGCTTTAACATTTCGCAAACCTGCAAACGATGAAAAATTATAAAAGTCCTTTACGTCAATCGAAAACTAGCGAAATGAAACGCCGTTTCCTAAAAATACAACCAGCATACAGGTGTATGATGAGTTGCGAATATTCATGCCAATCGCTCAGAGCCTTTTGAGTGTAAATCCTCACCTTGTCTAAACACTCCTGACCGACAGCATTTTTCGAGAGGAAAATTTCGTGAATGATGCCGTTCGGCTCCGAAATAAAACACCACATCTTCCCGTCCAGCGTGTAGGCTGTTTAAAAATCGCTATAATGAATGTTTCAACGTCTCAGGATCGCCATTTCTAACGCTTTTATCTTCACCATTCACCGGATATTCATGCACAAAGAAAGCGACAGTCAAACAGCTGAACGCAACAGCGCTGTAATTATTTCATTTACTGGCCAATCACATTGGGCCTGTTCGCTTGTGACACGAATTACGCATATTTACATCAGAATTGAATAAATTAGGAGAAACATATTTATATATCAATTACTGAACCATCAACGTTAGCTCCCTTTCCTCTTGTTTCGGCTGAAAGAAGTAAAATATTTCATTTATTACTTGAATCAAATTTTGCCTTGCCACGATGCGGATAGTAAATGATAAAGAGAGGAACAATCCTCCATTCTGCTTAAGTTGCTTCGGAATATTTTATTCACCCAAAATTGCTACTAAGATTCACACTTTGACGATCGAAAATAAAAATTTTCTTTGATAATTTATCTAATCACTCCCGTATTTTTAGGAAATCAGGTTTTCGTCATCTCTCAGTTTCTGGCCTGCACCACAATTTCACATTCGTTCCGTGAGGAAAATTCATAATTTTATTGTTAATATTTTTTGTCAGTTTCCTTTTTTGTTATGTTAAAATACTCAAACAAAGCTTTACGCTCCGCGTCTGTTTTATTTTATTTATCACCTGTTGAGGGGAGGCTAGCAATTATTTCATACGGCAACTACAAAATAACTCCTTGAAATTGTAATTTGATCGAATCAATCGTTGCGTGATTTTTTCAGGTGTGAAACACTTAAAAAATTTTGTTGTTGTTGTTGTTGTACATTTCCAGCCACACGTACGCGGTAAGGAAAAGAGTGGATTACACAAAAGTGACGGTTGCGAGAAACTTATCTCGAAATTGACAAATTCACAATTTATCACATTATGGCTCAGTCAATTTCAAGAGTGCTCATCCCCCGGGACATTAGTCGTGCATTTGTCATCAAAGCTCTGCACGAAGATAGAGTATTAATCATTGTTGAAATTCACATTTTTAAAAATCGAAATAGACGGATATAGTATATGAAAGAGAACATTACACAAAATACTGCTCATTAATAGTAAAAAGTCGTTTTAAAAAAATAATGGCCCTTACGTAATCGACCACCAGAAAAATTAATGTCTTCTTTTTCTTAAGCCAGTGGAAAGTTTGTGCACGGCCACGACTGTAGTTCTTTTCGGAGAGAAGACCAACCTGTCACTGTGAAGAAAACTCCGTGGAAGATTTTAGGAAGGTCAGTTACGGCAAGGGTTCCAAGCTAAACTCCAAATGATGGTGACAAGTTTCATCGCACAGTCGAACCTCCCATAAGCGACCACCCAAAATGCAAAGACTGAGTGGTCACTTAGGAGGTGGTCGTTTACAAGAATCGAACCACAGGGCTCTTTTCCGAGAAGAGGTCCGGGCACATCTACTTTATAGAAGATAATTTATTGCATGCAAGTTAGGATGTGTGTAGTTCCATGTTGTCACTAAAGTTCTTCGTATATTCTTAATAACAAAGCTAACATAGCTAGAGATCAGAGAATGAGTCAAGTGGTCGCTTACAAGAGACTAGAAACAATGTAATATCGGGCGCGATCCATTCAACCAAAATTCAGACCGGTCCGACCGGGAAAAGAGGACCACCTCAAAAAGTGGACCTGTTTTTTCGAAACTTTTCCGGTTGGACCGAATCGACCCATTGAGTTTTGGACCGAAATTTCCGGAAATTTTGGTTGAATGGATCGCGCCCGAACCGTCAGACCCAAAAAGTGGTCGCGGTCGCTTGCAGGAGGTAGTCGTTTACTAGAGGTTCCAACTGTAAGGCTTTGACTGGCAAAGTTTTGGTGTTTTGGATTGGTTGTCGTTTACGAGAGGTGGTCGCACGTGGAGGTTCGTCTGTATTATTGAACCTCCCCTTATGGATACTACATTAGCTAATACTAGCTGTTTCTCGCGTCGTTCTATAGGGTTAAGTTAAGTTAAATTCTCCGAAAGGGAACAATTGGACCCTGTAAAGTATTGGAAAAAATTTCAGGTGATTTTCTTTGCCGTTTTCTTTATTATACCTGTGATTTATGCACTGAGGCGCTCTCTTGCTTACAAGTTTCATTTGTGAGGTTAATTCTATTTTACATGCATGACCGAGGAATTCAACACGGTGAAACCGAGAAGCAAGTCATGCCAAATCCTGCCAGAAAATATATTTTTTTATGTTTAATTTTACTTGTGGTTGTCCTCTTCGCTTTCACATCTAACTTTGCGTCGTTAATGACATTTGCCCTGTCGTGATAGCCTGTCACCAACAACGTTTTTTCTTTATTTATTGTTTTTTTTTCTCGACGAATTTGGCGAGCGTGAGAACATTGCGCTAGCGGTCTGATTATAAATCCCCACGGTTTTTACTTTTATACGAGCGCTCGATGATCTCTCAGATTAGGCTTGGATAAATTCTGCTCGTAAAATGGCTTATTCTGCCTGCTGGCAGTGCTCGTAAAAATCGATTAATCTGCTCAAAATTTTGCTCCGACACCCTTATTCTGCTCGAATTCGGCTCGGTATTTATTTCGCAAATGTAGAAGGGAGCCTAGGCCTAACCATTACAAACTAATTAAATATTCAATATGCGTAGCAAAATTCAAAGTCATGTTACTTTTAATGTGAGTGCGTTGTAGCTATTAAATAATCAAATTAATCGCAAGTTATTTTCCATGTATTTTTTATTTAGTTTTTAAGTTTTATTACCGCGTCGCTGATCGATTTTTCCCTTATTCTGCTCAAATTCTGCTCGAAAATGCCTTATTCTACCGGCAGAAGGCTCTCCTCAAAAATCGCTTATTCTGCTCGAAATTCTGAAGGCAGAATTTATCCAAGCCTATCTCTAATAAAGAGAAAATAGAGGGTCTCCCAAAAGGCTACCGTTGCGGGGGGTCCCTCTCAGCAAACCCACCCAGCAGCGAAAGCCTGTGCTCGCCCTTGAAAAGAACCAGTGATGAATGCTATCACCCTGGTGTCACTGTTTCATAATCGCACCCTTTGTTGGAACTTATCCTAACAGGCTTGTTGCCAAAAAGTATTACTACTTGAATAAAAGACCATATTAAATATAGACAGGCTGGTATATTTAATTCGCACGAAACGTGACTCACAAGCACAGCTGACGTGAATTTGATGTTCCTTATCACAGCATGAAAATGGAGATTTACGCAAAATTAAAGTTTGCGTAAACCTGCGTAAAGTTGGTCATCCAACTTTACGCAAACTTTCCACGGCGCGTAAAGGTTTGTAAAGGTAAATTTACGCGCTCGGCTTTTTAAGGTTTCGTAAAGCTAGCATAAAGTTGTTGTAACAGCTTTACGCTCATTTACGCTACAAGTAAAGGTTTAGTAAGGTTGTCATATAATGCTAGCTTCCTAACAGCAATTTATTCCCGGCACTGTTTTTAGTAAGTCGTTTGTGTCCTGATACTAGTTCGCATAGTTTTTTTTTATCACTCATTTGGTGTTCGATGTTGGTGTGCGATGTAAACAAGCCAACCACGCAAATTTTTTTTTGGTGGTGCGAACGACTTCGTACACGCTTAAAAATGACGCTGAAAAGAAAATTCTGCTGGCAGAGTTCATGCAAAGATATAGCTTGCGACTGTGCGGCAATTTTCGAAAAACGGCATATCTGACGCGGCAAACACAATAGCCTTCAATACTCAGTAGTATTGCCTCATTGATTTCAGTCAGTATAAGGTGTTTCTTCCTTAACGGTCACCTCTCTACACGGGCCATTTTTGTTTTGTGTTTTTTTTTTCGGCGGACGGTCCATACATGACATACATTCACTCTTCTTTCAACCTCTCTACTATGGCCACTTTCTTCGAAGTCCCTAAGGTGGCCGTTGTAGAGAGTTTCAACTGTAATTTGATCAAATTGAAATAATTGGAAAATAAAGAAAAAATATCGCCTCGCGAAAACGGCGAGTTTTACTTAAAGAAAGAACGCATTACTTAAAGAGAAAGAACGCATTCACAAATTACTCTGACTATTTTACATTCAACGGACTACTGGCTTCATTGTTGAATCTCCTTCATCGCTTCCTTATTTTAAGTCCGCGGACTTCAGTTTTGGGAACGGACAATTTGTTAAAAGAAAGGGGCCTGGAAACAATAGAGCGAAGGGACACCTGGTCAGCGGGCTTGTTCCTTTGCACATGCTCATTCAGGTTCGTTGATTTGGCGTCCATTTTGAAAGTGTCCAACGGTTTCAAACTTGCTTCTTTGAAAGTTTGGAGATCGTTCATATATTATGCTTCTTGATAGGATCACAGGACATCTTAAGGTTGTTACAATTTATAATGGCACTATCAGCCTTTAGTAATCGATCACTTCTCAAGTGTGCAGCAACCCTTTCGGGATGAGATACTCAGTCAGAAATGGAGACAGAAACATCGTGTGAAGCGCAAGCATTAACACTGGAATGTTCACAACACAGACCAAGACTGTATTACACGTATTACTAAGGCTCTTCGATACTCAAGATCTCGCTGAAAAGAGCAGATAGTAAGGCAAGGTAAGTTGTCCTGGCTCGCCTTTTCTCTAACTTTTTAAGCTTAATTCCAACTTGTTTATGATGTCATTGATGAGTTCGAATGACTGTCTCAAGTACTCAGTAACTAACATTTCAGTGAGCAATGAAACCAGCATTAACCGTTTAAAGTAAATTGTAACTAAACATGTGTATTTATTTGGCATAACCTTTCAATACTAAGCAAGCAACGAGACCATGATGATGAAGATGATAATGTAAAATCATGTAAGGACTTTGGGGGTCTGAAGGAGTAGAATTTCCTTGTTTTGTACTGGAAAATAGGAGTTTGGTCACTGGTTCTGGGAATTACTAAAAGAAAATAATGGAATTAAGAAAGGACATCCGTATAAAGTAAGCTTACATGTAATGTGATACAAACATTCTTATGAAAATTTTCACAGACTATAGAAGAACTAATAAACAGAATAGAAAAGTGTTAACAAGTGTTGAATTTGCAAGTAGGCAAAGATAATCTACGTAGTCTGGTTCTCTATTTTCATGCGTCAGTCAATAACAAACCCAAGC